ATATTATTAAGCCTGAATTTCTCGTGAAAATTTCTGTTCTTTATACTGACATCTCTACAGAAGAAAAATAGAACGCAAAAAAAGTTTCTTCTCTTAAACGTTCTTCTAAACTTCAGTTTTTTGGTTTTTTCGCTAAGATAATTATATATTAGTTACCTGTAATATTTATACTGAAAAATATCTGTTAATAAAAGAAAAAGCTAAAAATGGTACAAAACTTGCTAATATGATTTGCAGTTGCTGAAAGCAAACGATTATCCAGGCTTTAGTACCAGCTTTTACAGTTTTAACCTATAATAAGAGTACTTTTATCAAAACTGGTTACTGAGATGTTAAACACAAATAACTGAAGCAATTCGTTGTTGTATTCTTTTGTCATAAGTTAATATTAGGATTAAAGTATTAATAATCTCGAAGTCTTGACATGTGTCGCCTTAGTAGCGCTTTCAATTTTTTCTACCATATTTCTCTTTTCGTAGCAAATAAACTAAGTCAAAATTAATGAGGTAAGATTTTTTTCCTTCGATTTAATAAACATAAACTTGAAGAAAATTAATATATCACTTTAGCAGATGCTGTAAAAAATGACATTGTAGAAGTCAAGAAATTGCAGTTTTTTAGCATAGTTTTGATAACATCCACTCAATCATTTAGTTAGAAATTGATTCTTCGAAGAAGAAAAATTTGGCTAATTTTTGCTTTGTGACATTTTGGCTGAAGCGGTTTAAAGGCTGATAACACGTGTGCAACATTTTAAACTATGCTTAATGTTAACATGGTTATTTAATGGTACTGTTCACGAACTGCTCAGTAATGTGACCTCAAATTTTCAAAAAAGGAAATAAAAAAAGAGAAGGTAAAGTTACTCACGAAATCATTGTCTTTTTTTAGTGAGCAAACCTACGTTCAGTTTCTTATTTCTTCTTTAATTTTACATTGTCTCAGTCAAAAGTGTTTCTTAAAAGAATGTATACTTTGTTATTTTTGCAAAAACTGCAGTTTTATAGTCCATAGTTTAGTGTATTGCAAAATTTGTGCTATCAAACGCGATTCTCACTTTAACGAATCAGGCTTTACACCTGTTAAACTCTCAGAAAAACAGCGGTGCTTTTGTTTTTACAAAAAAGTTCTTAAGAATGCTCTAGACGACTTATATAATGCTCCATCTAATTGTTTCTTACCCTTTTTTCTCGACAAATTACATTATAATAATTTTACTGAAAAAACATCATATTAATATGTGTCAAATGCTGTCGATATTTACACAACCACGCCAACATATTTCTTCCCCGTAGTCTTTTCTTTCAAGCAGCACAAATGTCTTTTTCAACAATCACAGAAAAATGCTGTTTTTAGAACAATAAGCCTTTAACGGAATATGCTTAAACTGAGTCTGTCAGAGTTCAGAGACCAAATAATCTGTCATCATATTGCTATCATAGCACCAGCATCAAAATTTCTTTACCCGTCCGAAAGTCGATTGAAAAGCAGCGGCACATATAAGTGACGGTTACGGGGCCAGTCCATGCCAAAAGCCTACGCTATTCAAGCAAAATTAAAAAGACGAATCCTAGCGAAACACCTTACCATGCGTGACAATATCAACAATATATACTCCTAACTTTATTTAGCAGCAACCATGTCATGATTTAATAATCAGGCTAGAAGATGTACAGCTTTTTGGACGGCTTTCATAACATCAGATTTTTCAATCTGTTTTTGGAATGTTTAGTCGAGCTGTCAGAAAAGTGAACAATTAGATAAAAAAAAAAAAAAGAAAAAAAAAGGGTTTATAGTTGACCCCGTCAACGCATTAAACAACGTCTCAAACAGCGCAAAAACTCTTGAACTCTGCAAAACAGCAACAGTTTTATTCCTTTTATTCATTCACATATTTACAAATCATTGAATCGCAGTACCACAGCTAGCAACAATGCAACTCTAATTCCTCAAAAAAATAGACAATTTAACAAGTCTGCAGCACTTAATTTTTAAACCGCATTTTCTTTATTATGAACATCTTGATCATTAACAACCCCATTTTCACTAATTTTCGAACTCATCCATTTTGTCAAATTTTCCTGTAGCAACGTTAAAATTAGCAAACTTTCTCTCTTCTCTTTTGTCTCTTCAGTACCCAAATCGACCAAGCCTGGACGAGCTTCAAGATAGGCCTAAAAAGAATAAAAGTTAAGGTAAGCGAAATCAAATTTAGCTAAAAGTTTTATATTACCTGCTCAGCAACAGAACATGCCATCTTCACATCTTTTTTGATTTCGTAATAATAGACGGCGAAGTTCAACGCGAGACCCATTCTTAAAGGATGAGTTGCTTTAATCATTTCATTCGCAAGTTTGGTAGCGTCAGTGTATGCTTCCAGTGATTTTTCTGATAAAGCTAAAGTAGTATTCTTGTTGTTTCTGCTAAATCCACTAAGTTGAGCAAGATGATATTTAGCCAAGGTTAGAGTTTGTAAAGTAATGTCTATAATACAGAAACTCATCACAGTTGCAGTGGTCATTCCCTACAGTCACGATAGAAGCCTTAGAAAAAACTGTAGTCTTTTTTCAAAAATTTTAGGTGAGAAATTGAGAATTAAACTAACAAGATCTACTTTCGTCAAATGTAATTTCCGCCAAATACCGATAATAATCAGCTTTCATTTTCAGTAAGAAAATCTTCGTTTCAGGGTCGGAGGCTTTTGGTAGCAGAACAGTATCAAGCATGTTCTTAAATGAATTAATTTTGAACCGATCAGCTCTTCATAAAGTAGACACTAGCATTAATGCAAAACTACTAACTGCTTTGCCTGTACTCCAAAGACTAACAAAATAATTACATTGAGATTATGACACAGGTCTAAAAATAAAGTGACGAGCAAAATTTTTCAGCAAATATCTAGCGTTAAAAATTTTATAATTGTTTTTTTAAAAATCGGTTTAAAATCACGCAAAGAAAATGATTTCTTTACTTACTATGAGTGTATTACAAGTGCTTCGATATTCTGAAGCGACTTTCTCTCGATATTCTTTAGCAACCTTTTTTTCCAACGCAGAACCGTCTCGTTTATTTTCGTAAGCAGTAAATACACGCCAGGAAAAACGCCGAAAATTCAACACACTCTTTAACAAAATACTACAGAGGAAAAACTAGCGCACAAGCAGGTCATTTGCTACCAAATAATTAGTCTTAAAATTAGTCTTAAAATTTTAGGTTGATTGCAACGAACTATTAGCAGCTATTAAACTTACTTTGTAGGCAACAGATAATAAACCACGCCCTTCTTGGCCAAGCTCAATGCCTTTCACTATCATATCATTCAGCAGATTGGTAGCGTCATCGTACCGTTCCATCTGAAGTGTATTAGATCAAATATGATTCCAGAATAAATAAATTAATAAATGATGTAATATTAAATAGAATTTTTGTTGTTAGAGACTTTTGTGAAACAAACTTGCTCAGCAAATCTGATACGCCATAAAAATTCTTCTTGTTCAGTAGAAACCATTCTATTTTTTATTGTTTCAGCTACTTCACCTAAAATAAGAATTAGTTTTTTTTTTTTTTTTTTT